TAACACATCATCCCGCGATCAACTCCTTGATCACATTGTGCACATTATGATGATGTCCTACCGAGTGGGCCCAGAGATACCTCTCTGTCACACGGAGTGACAAATCCCAGTCTCGATTCGTGCCAACCCAACAGACACTTTCGGAGATACCCGTAGTGCACCTTTATAGCCACCCAGTTACGTTGTGACGTTTGGTACACCCAAAGCATTCCTACGGTATCCGGGAGTTGCACAATCTCATGGTCTAAGGAAAAGATACTTGACATTTAGAAAAACTTTAGCATACGAACTACACGATCTTGTGCTAGGCTTAGGATTGGGTCTTGTCCATCACATCATTCTCCTAATGATGTGATCCCGTTATCAATGACATCCAATGTCCATGGTCAGGAAACCATGACCATCTGTTGATCTCACTAGGGACATGTTGTGGTCTATGTATTCACACATGTATTGCGGTTTCCGGTCAATACAATTATAGCATGAATAATAGACAATTATCATGAACAAGGAAATACAATAATAACCATTTTATTATTGCCTTTAGGGCATATTTCCAACAGGAGATACCCTGGTAAGTTTTTTTACTATTACGACATCCGTGCATCTTTTTGCATACTTATAAAACTAGTACATCATTGCTAACTACGAAGTTATTACTATGTTTTTCAACAGATAACCCCGAATGATTGTGTGCCTCATCTGATGTATACTCACTGTCGCCTCGATGTTTTGAACATACAACTAGGTCGTCCTATGAATCTCAACTGTCCATACCGGATTTCTAAAAGAAGTGGAGACATGACAATCAAAGAATGGAAAAAATGTATGGACAGTCGTAAGGAGCTTCTTGGAAGCAAAAGGAAGTGAAGCGCAAGAATTGGAGACGGGATGATCTCCATTCTTCATAATGGAGAGTCAGGGTCTATATTGTTTTATGCTATTTTATCTTAAGTGTGTTTACATCCTACCTGATACTGATGATCATGTGCTAAGAACAATTATATGGGTTGGGTTCGATGACTATGAGTATGATGATCGTATGACTTGTTATTAATAACGAGTAGAAGTTGTATGATGATGCATGATTAGTAGGACTTGTTATTATATATGATGATGTATGATGCGAGCATGAAGAGTTATTATATATCAGCGGGTAAATTGAACATAGCAGTAGCGTTGGTAAACCAAGCACGAAGATATAAGAGAGGACACTTCTCTTTATTAGCTAGCTAATAACAACCTAAATTAACTCCCAAAACCCCTAAACCAGCCACTTAAAAAAAACCTCAGCTGCAGCCAGCTTCTGACGCGTGGATGTCTTTTGGTCCCGGTTTATGTCACCAACCAGTACCAAAGGCCCTCATGCCTGGGCTGCCCGCAGCGGCCACGTGTAGGCCCATCTGTCCCGGTTCATGTAAGAACCGGGACTAAAGGGGGAGGCATTAGTAAAGACCTATTAGTCCCGGTTCAAGACCCGGGACAAATGCCTTGTTTTCTACTTGTTTACGCTCGCTGTGGAACGGCCTACGAGATTGGGTTCCATAGGTAAAAGTGAACTGTGTGGCTGGGTCTTAGTCGACTGAGACTTAGTGAAGTCGCCGTCAAGTGACATAACAAAAAAAACATGTAAGAAAGAAAAAGGAAAAACTGACAAGAAAGATTTGCACAGATCTAAATGTAAGATCTTACGAATATAGCATTGATTGAGACATAACAAAGTCTTAGTCGATTGAGATTTAGCAAGACTAAAAAGATGCGGATCACGAAGGAACAAACCTGATTGTTTACGTGAAGGACCGTCAAGATCACGAATATGTATAAGTTTTCACAGAATTTTTTGAACTTTATTGAACCTGGAAATGTCATTTTCCAAGATTTTAAAAAAATGGGCTCCAAGGAGCCGGTCCTCCAAAATTTTACACCCCTCCATTCCCCCTTGTAATGTGCATTGTTTCTAGCTCCAATACCAAAGAGTGGGGTGGAGCTGCATTTTGGACCAAAATAGCCATGTATGCATGTGGTCTCTGTCCAACTCATGTGCGTGCCGCTGAATAGAGGGTTACTTTATGCATGTCCCGTGGATTAAACAGTGTTACTATTGCCGAAATATGCTCACCGCTGCATATGCGCACTATGTTGCAATTTTTTTTACAGAAAATCATATGTATGGTTCCGTCGGGACTTGTGAGCAAAAGAACGAGGGAAAGAAAAGGTGCACGGATGGCTTTGCTCGGGACTTCGGAGCCTCCCGATTGGACCAGCTGCTGCTCACGAAAAAGGAGGTTTAGCCGACACCCTCTCCAACAGGGAACCGCTAGATTTCGTTTTCTAAGCTAGAAAGGGACGTGGACATCTTTCCTCAAAGGATATTTCCTAAAAGTAGGTTAGCTGGACAAAGCATCAACAAAAACCTGATTAAAAGAACTAGATTGTCACAATCTCTTCCTACTCCCTCCGTTCCATAATACATGCCTTCTATTTAACAAAATATAAATGTATCTAGACATGTTTTAGTATATAGGTACATCCATTTTTGAACAAATGGAAGTCAAGTATTTTGAAACGGAGGGAGTAGTTCCTAGTCCATGGAAAATCACGATCGAAGCCATGGATGCACGGCACCAGTCGGTACAAACTGCTGCACGTTTGCCCAAAGTGAAGCTTGAATGATGGTCAAGAACCGGAGGTTGTCCAACTAAGCGACGCGTAGTGCTATTTTATTAGCTTGTTCTTGACGTCGTACAGAGACATGGCAGTGCTGCAACCAGTACCGTACATGTGTGTGTGTTTGTAGGGATAAAGTGGAAACTCCTTGTCCTTGGTTCCACGGGAAGAATGGGTAACTTTGAATATGACAAAGCTTTGTTTGAAGCAAAGCCATCGTAGCGGGTTTGGACCGCCATTAGTTTGTCCTACTAGTAGTATGGTAAAAACAGGATTTGGTTGTTCAGTTTTGCCGCGTATGCTGGGTGCCTTCGCCCCTCAATGAACGCATGAACCCTCTAGTATTATTTATACTAAATTACTTTTGTTTAGACTTTGCTGACCCTTCAAAAAATTTATTTGAACATATAACCCCACGTCGAAGGCGTAGTAATATTTACACATCGCCACACCCTTCTGGTCGTCGCATTTGACTTCTGTCTATCGCCGGTCGATCGCCTCGCCAGCATGCCACCTGCCGTAGTCGCCAACATGATTGGCGGATCTCGGCTAGAGGTTCTATGTTTAGCTGGTAGATCCTTCGAGAGATTTATGATGTGTGCAAATAATTTTTGATGTGGTTGTACTAAAATCATAATGCGCTAGATAAAAGTCATCATTTAGGTGGGGGGGTGTACCGCACCAATAAGTTTGGCACTTCTCGGTTCGTATCTGCACGCTAGCGGTGCTAGCAATTTTCCCAAGCAAGGTGGCATGCCTAAGATTTGGACGCATACAGCGTAACACATCCAGCGTCGGCACCTTCCGGGGTGCCATCGGCACAATTTGATCATTGGAGGCATAGGAGATGGCCTTCCCATCATACACTCCCCTAGAACGGACGAGGGTGATCGTGCAAACCGTGAGCGAACTCGTTAATTGCAGGTCTTAAGTCATAGATCATTATCCAACAGTATCATCGCGCATCACCGCTTGCAGTAACGGGCCATTAAAATGTAGGACCCTATGTGGCCTCTTAGCTTTTAGCTCCTTCAAAAAATTCCGGTTCCTTACCAAACCCCTAAAACTTAACTCCTTAAAAAAATTAACGCAAATTCATTTACTTTTGGGCCATCAAGTAAACTCATTACTTCATTAAACGATATCATAGTCACATACTTCACCTGTTCCTTTGCGAAGAGAACTGATCCAATTAAAACTACAAGAAAAAGCAAACACTTCAATAGAGACACAACCTTGGCCGCTCCTACTAGTCCATCTCATTTTAATTGCCGACATTGTTGCTCTTATTAGTAGGCTTTTTGAGCTTGCACACTTGTTTCTTCACTGCCTCCTCAAACTTGGACATTGCGTCCTCTGTAAGTCTCATCGCTAGTAATCAGTGCACCAACATCTAGTAGACTTCTCTTTATCAATGGACAATAGATCAATGTGCCCTTCTTTCCAATACAAAAACTTGCATCCTTTCTACATAAAATTTTAAGAAAAGAATGTTTTTCAAATTGTCACGAATCTAAAGAACAACCGTATAAAATTGCACTCGCTCTATCCATTCACACTAGTAGAAAATTCATTCGGAATGTTTCGTCGTGCTTGAGACGTGACCCAGCACACGTCGTTAGCAATCATCACACTTGATGACAGGTAGAGGCTCGCCGACAACTGCGGGGGCGAGGGCTGAGGCTAGCCAGCCGGAGGGCGTGGTTGTGTCGGCGCTCGGTCAATGTGTGAGATGCGAGGGCACATTCCATAGGTGGCGCCGAGTGGTCGTGGTTGTTGTGTGGTTCGGTCCATGATGAATCCTGCCAAAATGTGACGGCGTGAGGGCCTGGGTCTATTGAATCCGGCGGTGGTGGCGATGGGCATAGATGCGTTGGTTTGTGTGGCGATGACGAGAAGCAACCGGATCAAAGTGGGGAGGAGCACGGGGGTGCTACAGGGTGTCGACAGCGACGCGTGGTGGCCAGTGAATGCAAGTAAGACGGCACCGGAGTGGATGTAGCCGAGCGGGGGTGAGCGGTAGCCGGGGAGGGGAGGGGGAAATTTTATACTCATGAAGTGAGCGGTTGAGGAGTAAAAATTGTACTCCTCTAATACCGATAAGAGATCGACTATGTTCGGTTTAGGCCCTCAAAATCAAATTGTTTTACTTTTCTTACCGGTTGTAGGGATCGGTTAGAAATGCTCTAAAACATGTACAAAGTTGAACATTGGTAACCTTGCTTGCTAAGCTATAAATAGACCTACTAGCCTCGGAGCAACTCAACTCTAAGGATATCTCATCTCCACAAAATATTGAGCTGAAGGTACGTCCGGTGGTGGAGGAAATTATAATGGACAAGCTTCCCAAGCGCCCGGCAAACTACGTGCCACTCAGCCCGGTCGTGTTCCTTCCGCGCGCCAGTGCAGTATACGGCGACCGCACGTCGGTCGTCTACGGGCGTCTCAAGTTCACATGGAGGCAGACGCACGAGCGCTGCCGCCGCCTCGCCGCCGCCCTCGTCTCCCTCGGCGTCCGCAAGAACGACGTCGTCTCCGTCCTCGCGCCCAACGTGCCGGCTATGTACGAGATGCACTTCGCCGTGCCCATGGCTGCTGCCGTGCTCAACACCATCAACACGCGCCTGGACGCCCAGGCGGTGGCGGTCATCCTAAGGCACTCCCAGGCCAAGGTCTTGTTCGTTGACTACGAGTACGTGCGCCTCGCTCACGACGCTCTCCAGATCATGGCCGATGCCGGCGTGCCGGTACCGCTTGTCGCCGTCATTGACGATATCGACAGGCCAACCGGCGTCCGGCTCGGCCTCTTCAAGCTCGAGTATGAGGCGCTGGTCAGCAAAGGAGACCCGGCGGCGGAGCTTCCCTTGCTCGCAGACGAGTGGGATGCGGTCGCGCTCAACTACACCTCGGGCACCACGTCGGCGCCCAAAGGCGTGGTGTCCAGCCACCGTGGTGCATACCTCAACACCATGGCCCAGCTGCTGTCGTGGGAGGTGGGCACCGAGCCGGTGTACCTCTGGACGCTCCCCATGTTCCACTGCAACGGGTGGACACTCACGTGGGGAATGGCGGCGCGCGGCGCCGTCAACGTCTGCATTCGCCAGAACCGCGCCACCGACGTCTACCGCGCCATCTCCGACTACGGCGTCACCCACATGTGCTGCGCGCCCGTGGTATTCAATATCCTCCTGGAAGGCGAGACCCGACAGCTCACCGCTCCCGTCCACGTCCTCACCGGCGGGGCCCCGCCGACGGCCGCCCTACTGGACCGCGTCGAGCAGATCGGTTTCAGGGTGACACACTCCTATGGACTCACGGAGGCCACAGGACCCGCTCTGGCCTGTGAGTGGCGTCACCAATGGGACCTCCTGCCGCTTCCGGAGCGCTCCCGACTCAAGGCCAGGCAGGGGGTCAGCGTCCTATCTCTCGCTGATGCCAACGTCGTCGATGACGACACGATGTCTAGTGTGCCACATGACGGCAAGTCCTTGGGTGAGATCGTGCTCCGTGGCAGCCTCATGAAGGGGTACCTCAACAACCCTGAGGCGAATGAGAAGGCCTTTAAGGGAGGGTGGTTCATGACGGGCGATGTCGGCGTCGTGCACCCGGATGGGTACATCGAGATAAAGGACAGGTCAAAGGACGTGATCATCAGCGGCGGTGAGAACATCTGCAGCAAGGAGGTGGAGGAGGTGTTGCACCAGCACCCGACTGTGGCCGACGCAGCGGTGGTTGCGATGCCTCACCCACATTGGGGCGAGACTCCGTGCGCGTTTCTCGTGGCCAAGGACAAGGCTGCTGGGCTCTGCAAGGATGAAGTGATCACCTTCTGCCGCGAGCGCCTGCCACGCTTCATGGTTCCCAGGAAGGTGGTCGTCATCGACGCCCTCCCGAGGAACGCGCTGGGAAAGGTTGAGAAGGTGAAGCTACGGGATGCGGCCCGGAATCTTGTGCCCTCGGCCGTGTCAAGGCTATAGGACAACTATGTACTGTGCCCATCATGGTGATAAGGGCAATATTGTACTACCTCTGTGCCTGTAACATAAGATGTTTTTGTAGTTCAAATTTTGAACTGTAAAAACTTCTTATATATAGGACAGAAGGAGCATTTTAGAAATAATATATGTGTGGTTCCCAGGAAGGTGGTCGTCATCGACGCCCTCCCGAGGAACGCGCTGGGAAAGGTTGAGAAGGTTCAGTTGCGGGATGTGGCCCGGAATCTTGTGCCGAGCCCCTCGGTGGTGTCAAAGCTATAGGACGGCCATGTACGTACGATGCCCATCATGGTGATAAGGACAATATTGTATTTTACAAACAAGAAAATAAGGCAGCATATATGCGTGCCAATGTTTGATTGCACTACGGACTTTTTTCTTTGTATTTTCTTATCTGAGTACATCATCTTATCTTAACTTATTATTAAATATGAACTTTTTTTAAGGTTCAAATATGAAGTTGCTATGAAAATATTTTGTTTGGTTTGTGATATTATAATATCGACACCATTAGATGGCGCATGTGTGCTATCAGATAATTGGGCACGCATCCCTTTGTATCCCTAAGGGCGTCTCCAACCGCAACCCGTAAATTTTCTCCCGCATTAGTACGCGGATTGAAGGCACCAGTCCGCATACACGGATGCGGCAGGCCGTCATCCAACCGTAGCCGCATATACATCCGGCCTTCCTCATTTTCTTTATGTTGACGTATAAATGTATTGACTAGTCTCTTCTATCAAACTGGTCTTTTGCTTGCATTGGCTAGAGCATGCAATTCTAAATGGTAGCGGAGCCAATAGAAATTGAGTTCAAGACCCGACTGGCGCAATTAAATTACAGCCCACTTTCAGTCCATGTTCAGGCCTGAGGGAGCCAATGTATGTATTGCCTAGACTCTTCCATTAGATCGGTCTTTTGATTGCATTGGCTAGAGCATGCACTTCCACATTTTAAGTCCGCTACGATCAAATAACCGCATACATAGAGTACAAACGTTCAAATAGTTGCATGCAACACTAGTTCAAACTTAAAAAAGTTCAAATATTACATCCGAACATTGTTATCCCCTTTAACCACCCACAAATTCTCAATTAGATCTTCCTTCAGCTGCTCATGAGTTGGTCGATGCCGAGTTTGTTGATGCATTCGAATAAATTCTTCAACTGTGGCAGGATTCTGGTCTGGAAGTTCGATAGGATCACCGATGTTCTCAAATTCTAGAGTTGTGGTAGCAACCTCACCATCATCCTCAACAACCATGTTATGCATGATCACAAAACATGTCATCACCTCCCACAAGGTCTCCGGATCCCATAGTTTAGCAGGTCCACGAACAACTACAAAACATGCCTGCAGAACTTCAAATGCCCTCTCCACATCCTTTCTAGCTGCTTCTTTGGGAAAAGTGAGACTTTTTCAGGCCAATTGAGTTAGAGATGATGCTGATAAAGGTAGCCTACGGAGGATAGATACTGTCAATCAGATAGTAGCTCATGTTGTACTCATGTCCATTGGACAGTATAGTGGCAAGGAGGAGCTTTTCCTTCAGTCAGCATCGCAAACAACGGTGATCGCTGCAGCACATTGATGTCATTATGAGACCCGAGCATCCCAAAGAAAGTGTGCCAAATGTGATGCAATGCAACTGCTTCAAGAATGATGGCGGGCTTCTTAACATAACCCTAATATTGCCCTTGTAAAGTCTTTGGGCAGTTGTTCTAGTTCCAATGCATGCAGTTAAGAGATCCTATCAATCCTGGCCACCCTCTAGTTTCTGAGATTGCCAAGAGCCCCTTAGTGTCCGCCACAGTTGGTTTTCTTGGGTATTGAGGTCCGTACACCTTGACCACGACAGTTAGAAACCTGACCATGGCATCTCCGCATGTGCTCTCAGTCGTAGGTACTCATCCCACGAATCAACTGTCGTGCCATATACAAGCATTCGTAGTGCAGCTGTGCACTTTTGGTAACCAGAGAAGCCAATCGTTCCGACAGTGTCCTTCTTGAAGACGAAGTGTCATCATATATGTGGCATCACCAGTGGGTCCTCCTGCCGTTCCCTGAGCACCCACTCCTCAAGGCCGGGCAAGGCTATGTCTCAACGACACCCACTGTCCTCGTCAACGACAACACCATGTCTAGTGTGTCGCACGACGGCAAGTCCTTGGGTGAGATCATGCTCCACGGCAGCAGCCTCATGCAGGGGTATCTCGACAACCCCAAGGCGAATGAGAAGGCCTTCAAGGGAGGGTGGTTCATGACGGGCGAAGTCGACGCCATGCGCTTGGACAGATACATTGAGATAAAGGACAGGTCAAAGGATGTGATCATCAGCGGTGGCGAGAGCATTTGCAGCAAGGAGCATGAGCAAGTGCTGCTTCAGCACCCGGCTGTGGCTGATGCGACGGTGGTCGCGATGCCTCACCCACACTGGGGCGAGACGCCGTGCGCTTTCCTCGTGACTAGAGACAAGGCTGCTGGGGTCTGCAAGGATAAAATGATTGCCTTATGCAGCAAGCGCATGTCGCGCTTCATGGTTCCTAGGAAGGTGGTCGTCATCGACGCACTCCCGAGGAACGCGCTGGGAAAGCTTGAGATGGTGAAATTACGAGATGCGGCCCAGAATCCTGCGCCCTCGGCCGTGTCAAGGCTATAGGGCGACCATGTACGGTGTCCGTCATGGTGATAAGGACAATATTGTACTACCTTTGTGCCCGTGATATAAGACAATTTTGCAGTTCCAATTTTAAACTACAAAAACGTCTTATATATGGGCTGGAGGGAGTATTTTAGAAATAGTATATATGCGTGCCAATATTTGTTTGTACTTTGGTTTGTGATATTATTATATATACTATATTCCTATACAACAATAAATTGAAACTAGTGTATTCAGTCATTTTTTACAATCTTGTGTATCATGAGTTTGAAGGGGAGCCTTGGCGCAGTGGTAAAGTTGCTGCCTTGTGACCATAAGGTCACGGGTTCAAGTCCTGGAAACAGCCTCTTGCAGAAATGTAGGGAAAGGCTGCGTACAATAGACCCAAAGTGGTCGGACCCTTCCCCAGACCCTGCGCAAGCGGAAGCTACATGCACTGGGGCTGCCCCCCTTGTGTATCATGAGTTTATTCATAGTTAAATCTTTGCGAATTGGACTAAGTTTGTGGAAAACATGATCAGTGTATCTACAACATCAAATTAGCATATAATTAGAATCATATTTCAATATACTTTCACGATTGTATTCATTTAAGGTTGTGGATGCTGGTGAAGGATAAATAATTTCGACTTAACACAGATTTATGTTGATGCCAAATCAAAGTTGAAATGGAGTTCATACACAAACATATTAAAAGAAATATGGTTATAAAGGCTTCCGTTTTAGGGAATCTGAAAAAGCAAAGCAGCGGACTCCAAAACCTTAAAAATGGTTGTAAAGGGCCCTCTAGAACTGAAGCAAAGGCTCCCTTCTTAGTGAATCTGCTAGAGTTGCTCTAACAGTAGCAGTCACACTAATGATAAGAAACCAATGTTGAGGTCAGATCATGAAACCACCCGAATGAAGCTAACTGACCATATATCAGTAACCTGAGACAGAGGGGTAAGCTAATAGAGAAAATGAGCAGTAATATATCAAGAATTATTGAGCCAGTCTCAGCACTCATGCTAGAATTTCATGATCTAACCTCAACATTAGGTTTCCATCGTTATTGAGTCAGTCTAGGGTAAATGCTATTGGAAAGTGTACCAAAAGATCCATTGAGACTTTCAGGAATCATTTCATGCATTGGCGTTCGAGCAGGAGACGGGCCATATGATCCCAGATGGGCGCCTCATTCCGCTGCCGTGAGTCGCCAGATCCGTGCGAGGCCGAGCCTCCAGTCCCACCGTCGCCGGTTCCCCTCCGTTCGAGCCCCGCCACCGTCATGGTCGGGTTGGGAGGATACGAGTGGCACCACCGCAGATGGGCGCCTTGTTCCGCTGCCACGACTCCGCCGGTTCTCCTCCGTTCGAGTCCCGCAGCCATTGCTGGAAGCCGCTGCCGTCCCAGTCAGGTTCGGGACAAGACCGGCGGCACGATAGACGGGCATTTGACTATAAACGTTTTTGACTAGCAGCGTCCATGTGGCTGGTAGGACTAGGGTTCCTACCGACTCGGCTCCTTAGGTTGTAGGGGTAGGAAGCGAGGGTTGAGGCCGAGGGCGGCGGCTCCGGCGTGTTGGCGCCGTCGCGAGGGAAGAGAAGGGCGGCGGTGGCTAGGGTTCGGCGCGGCTAGGGTTCCGGCTCCTCTGGAGCCGGGCAATATGATAGAACTATCTTTATTGCTTAATCTTAAAAGGTATCTTACAATCTAATATTTATAACCTCAAAACGACTAGCCTAAGATAACTTGTGGGCCAAGCCCCTAATCTACTGCCCAGCGGGCCTCCTCCGGTTGTATTGTAAACCGGTCATAACATCTCTCTCCGCCTGCACAAACAGCTCATCCTCGAGCTGAAAGCCTGGATAGTGGTGGCGGAAGTCATCACGTGGCTCCCAAGTAGCCTCCTCCACCGGAAGACCAGCCCACTGCATCAAGACGAACCACACCCCGCGACGAAGTTGCGCCTTCAACACCTTCTCTGGCTCCGGAAGAAGACGTCCGTTGGCGGTCGGAGGAAGCGCGGGTGGAGCCGCCGGTGGCTCGCCACGAAAAGGCTTGAGCAGCCCCACATGAAACACATCATGGATGCGAGCGCCGGCCGGAAGCTGAAGGCGATAGGCCACCTGCCCGATGCGCTCCAAGATGGCGAAGGGTCCCACATAGCGAGGACCGAGCTCGCGCTTCGCACGCGGGTCGAGTGACTGCGTAGAGCGATGGAGAAGATGCAGCCACACCCAATCACCCACCGCGAACTCCGCCTCGTGATGGTGGTCGTCGTAGTAATGCTTCGCCAGCTGCTAAGCCTGAAGTAGACGCTGACGGACCTCAGCAAGCA